TTCAATATTTATAGAAGAGTTTTGGAACACTGTGTTCACCAGGGGTACTTTCGGTAACTTCTCAGCAGCCAACTAAAGTACCAAACAGGTTACAGGTCTAAGAGAATAGGAAATAAGACTTAACTAAATTGAGTCTTTGAGTCACACCAAGTATTTTGACCGAGGTGGATTCAGTGTTTTTTTAATCTTTTAGATGAAAGTGACGGCTGAAGCAACGCGATTATAATAGTCTTCTTCTCGAATGAAATTTGGCAGGTGGTTTTGAAGGTGTTGAGTGGTACCGAATAGGATGTTTTAAATAACTGCACCGGATTGTTTTCGTGGGTAAGTCCGAAACCGCACGATTACGTTTTTTTGATCTTCTGAAGCAGACGTTGACTAATACGATATGCCTGGTACGTAACACCCATACTATTAGTAAGTCTTCATATCGCACTAGTGCAACCACTCCGTACTTTGTCTTCACTAAATGCCCTTCGGAGAGAAACATCTACGTGAGGAGTTAAAGTATCGGAAGCCTTATTTTTCATAAACCACTTGTATGGATGTTTCTTCCGACCAAAGTAATACCCCTGTGTCTTGGAATCGTAATAGACTTGACAGTAAGAACTTTGAAAGTAGTAGGGTATATGCTCCGAAGGACCAGCATCTTCATATCTATGATAACACTAACGCTGGTTTCTTCCGAGAAAGACAGCTTAGAAACCACTCAACGGTAGACCTGACCGCTGGTGACTTACTAGGTAAGCTCGAAGAATTAAAACCTATCCAGAACCAAATGTGGCTCCAAACATCTCGTACATCAGTATAAGGAGGTATACTTTTATGTCTCACTATTCCTGTCCACTTCCATGACCAGCTTCGTCGTGGAAACGCATGCACATTCCTGGGATATAATCCCAACTTTTCATGTCTTACGAGTCGGAGTTTTTAGCCAAGTTGGTTCACTTCAACTGAGCCCGACCGGAGCAGCTGGAAAGTAACATCTTCCCAAGCGGCCTAAAGCACAGCAGTCACACACTACGATCCCGCTTGCTTCTACTTATGTTGATTTCTATTCCACTTCTATTCATCTACATTACCAATATGAACGAAACATGTACATGGTTTGTAAGACACAACGTGAATATACCGATGTTTGTTGGCCTTTACAAGTGATCTTCTCCAGGGCTGAAATGGATGAAAAAGAGAAGATAGTAGCTGCGGTTACAGGGAGTCAAGAAGCACGCCCATGTCTGCTATGTGAAGCTGATGTTAATGCTATATTTTTCTGTTACAGTACAGCCAAACTAAATATTCCACACAACTCACAATCTTTTCGACTTCGCTCGCACGTAATTCGGGGCGGATATTCTCAAACATATGTTACTAATACCAAAGGATCTGTATAACTTCGCATTTTTCAATATGCACACTTCACTTGGGTCCACCTGTCCACCTTGATAGACCGTGAGTTGGCCCACACAAAAATGGATACAAGACTATACTCCGGCGCTGCACCACAAAAGAGCCCATCCTACCTATGTTTCTTGTCCTTTTGTCCTCTGGCTGTAAGGTGGTCAGAAATGGCATGCCGCGGTTTACATATTGTTGCTAGTGAGTTGAGTATAAGCCTTTTAAACGTTTTGTTCAAGTGGATTACTGGGAACTGATGATTATAGGCACTCGGATCGGTTGATCTGTCAGAATCTACAATCAACGACCAGAAAATCTATGACAAGACAGGGTCATTACATCACCACACTTGTTAATGGCAATTAATAGCGAAAATACCTTGCTGAGGCAGCATCCACTATTAATCTACCGTTGTGAGGCCTGGTCACTATCCGTGCAAGAAATATCACTCTCGATGTGTTTCGAAGCCACGCGTTATACAAAGGAGACATCGGGGTAGTACCGCTGAATGGTGGCGAGTGTGTTTCTATAACGAATTAACTATTTGCTTAGCTGGCGAACGGATTCGGCTGCAGCAACTATGTCGCTAAGCCGTGCCCCGATTGCTAAAGTAGGCTTCACTGGTAGATATCATAATATTGGTTAATAATCGCCTGGAGACGGTAAGCGGAAAAGTTATCAACCAGTCTTTAAACCACTGACATATGCTGTCTGCGAGGCTCACTTTTCAGAAGTCCACCCAATCATCACAAAAAGGGTGGTGCTACATAGTGGAGTCGTATCTGTTTCCTAATTCTCTTTCAGTTACTCCATTATCTTTTGGTAGTTTTGATTTGCCCATACTCCGTCAAAGTTCACTGGGAAACTTTAATTCTACATTGGACCTACTGCGAGCACAGCTCTCGTGAGGTCGGTTCAGCGAGAATCTAAAAAGAGCTCATGTCGACACAACAGAGCAATGAAGATGTGTGAGCATAAGTACTTCTATTTAACTGAAATGGCGGTTGCTAGTTCACTCATATTGAGCTATCACAATGGCCAGCATCAAGCTTAGAACAAGAAATCTGAGTTTACACTGACTACCCTAAAAAGACTCACAGAGAGTGGACTACTCTTTTGTGCGATCAATACTGTCAGGTTCGGCTGGTCTTAGGTGTTGGAGGACTACATAATTTAATTAGGTTGATCTGCAATATGAGCAATATGGGCCTCAGAAAATACCATTAAACACAGATTTATCGACCGGATTTCTTGTGGTCCCAGGCTTCAGCCTACGTTTTAGTACTGTTAACCTCCTGAGGATAGGAAGTGAGTCTACTTTCGCCCATGTGATGTGATTACCTAAACCGAAAGTGAATGTACCGTATCTCGTTTTTCACCTGAAATGATTTCATATATATCTCAGTATGTTTTACTGACATGATTCATTACTCACAGTGCTGCCGAATATTCTTCGACAGTCCGCTTACGGTTTCGTCCTTCTTGAAGCCCCCTCATCAACCTTATACGTAGTGTGTGGCTTGCTACTTCCCAAATAGCGCTCTAACTGAAATATCAAGTGACCTTTCTGCGTCACACCGAGATGAAGGACATCAAGAAAGGAACATTCAGTTGATTCTCTCGTTAGCACCAAAACAAGCTGCGAATGAGTGTAGTTCGCCAGTTTTATACAGTCTCATGTCCAAATGGGACACAGAGTTGATGAAAAATTGATGAGCAAGCCTTTGGGTGATATGTTCTGTCAAGGGAAATTCCCCTGTGTTTCGGTCTTGTCGGGTTCTGCAGAAAATTGCGGGTTATATTATATTTTGTGTACGGCTCTCTTTCAGCTGGTAGTGCATTCCATGGTAGAATTCTATTTTGAAGTTCAATCAGTAGTATGCTCGCGTTGCGTAACTGTGGTGCCCATTCCAAAGGTTAGATTCGGCCAGGTTGCCAACCATGGAAGTGGTGAAATTCACAGTGTTTGCCCACCCACAATACAAAAGCTTACAAAGTTTCAGATGAGTGAATTTTCCGTATTTCTCAATGAGATTTTGACTAATTACCTGGGTGTTTCCCAAGCTCTAAAGATCATGCTGGTTTGATTACAAGCGCTTGTAGCAGCTTAGGCAAGCTGAATTTCACACATTTTGATCCAAGCCGTCCGAATACCTTATCCATGTCCTAATGATGGATATGTTTTCAATTATGCTAACGGTAATACTAATGATTACTTAAAACCACAGTGGGTGGTCTGTACTACCCAAAGTACCTTGTACATGACACAAATAGACTGACTATGGGAAACACCAACATTTCTCATTCTGGGTTTCTTTGCTCATTTTCCAGTTTGCTTCCACCTGAGCAAATAACAAATTCTAGTGGCAATAATATCGAGCTTCCTAGTTACTCGCGATTTTTTTGGCTTTTGCTCTCTATAATTCATGAAACAATAAATAGAGTCTTTCCGCATTACCCCATCCTTTTAAGGACCCACTACTGTTTTTTATTAACAGTCGTAATGATCATTCAAGAGCTTACTTATTCAAGGACTTCAGACGGACGCTGTCTTCCAGACCTTTTGATTTCCACTAATTCACTTGTCAATGTATCTGTCTGCCCGGATTGTACTTTGGATCTCCTCCAGGATCATTTGTGTCAGGATTGATCAGGGAAGCAATTACAGCAGTAATAATTTGGCTGACGGCCGTTACAATTTTTTTCTGTTCCACCGAATTTCTCTACTACCGTTGTTACTGGTTTACGTGAACCATCACATCTTCATGTATTTTTCAAAACTTAGTATTGATCCGTTCACTAATTGGAAGTCGGCTAGCAGCACTTACCCTCTGATTCCATTCGGCGTAAGAATTTCCCAGTTTTAGTTCACTACCTTCTAAGGGTCCCAGCCACAGGAGTTCTATTTTACAAGCTGATATTGCGAGGTCCAAGCACAATAAGTAGGTAAAGGTCAAAGAGTGCATTCCGAATAGAAACTGAAGGCGCGAGACACTCTGCATCAACGAAAGCCACCTGGTATAAGTAATGAATCTTTGTGGTCAACGCCGATGTACTTTCTCGATGTCCATCTGTCAGCAAACTCGGAAAGTAAATTATGTTTCCAGACTGTCTGTCCCCAGTACAACAATGATGTGTTTACAGAGTCCAGGAGATCTGTGTCAACTATGGCTGAATTTATAAACTCTCAGTTTTGATGTCTATCCGAAGCCGGCCAGAGACGTGGACACATCAACATTCGATTGATCAAAGGATAAGAAACGTATTAAGCCATGACGATTGATTGAGACAAAAAACGTCTGTGTTGTTCCGCTTGGACGCGTCCACTGTTTCCGGTAGGGGTTGGAAACGACACCACCCCTGGTAAGACAGCCATCATCGCCGAGGGCGTCTCGACAACAAAGCCTAACCGGCCATGTGATTCGGCGTGATTACCTTCGACACACCGGTTCGACACCACGCAGAGGGTGGACGGACGTCTAGTTGAAGAATCGAAAAAGATAAAGCATCCATTAGAATGGTCGCCTGCAGCGCTCGAATGACGCAACCTATGCCAACCACCTGTCCACCCTCCGCCACCCTTAGGCCGGTGTGAACAGATCGGAATGTCCAGCTCATCGGAAGCTGGATGTTCGCCCTACATCGTCAGTTTAGGTGATGGATTGGAAAAAGGATGATTCAGTGGTCATGGTTTGACAAACACACGGAAAGCTCACAGTCAAATACGACCGGTTTGGCCGGCTCACGGTGTGGGGCGCTACCAGTATGTGTGCTCAGAGCAGACACCCTTGTTTCCGGTTTAATGAGGTGTGTATCGGAATAGTTCGGAGGAAAAATATGGAACACAGAGTCCCACCTAGGTTGTCCATCACTTTATACTACCCGTACATCAGTATGTAAGAGGCGGGCTAGTTGAGCACAGCTCACTATACCCAACAGCCACACAGACGCAGTCTACCGTATGAGGAGCAGATGTTCGAAGTCGCGATCCCATCATTCTTGACCTTGGGTCACACCATTTCGTGTGGATGATTGGGACGTGTGACGTTTGTTCGAATGAATTTCAGCAAATTGGTTTGTGGAGTAAGGAGTGATTGGGGATTAAGAATCGCGTCTTAGATTAGCGCCCCAGACCAGAAACTAGACCAACAAGAAATCTGATAGAGAATGAAGATTCCACGGAAAGCAGTAGCTTCCACAGTGGGAGCAAGGAATTGAGAGATGTTTAGCCTAGAAAACGCTCAGAAATGAAGTTTGTGGGAACTCGTACTGTTTGAACCATTTGTGCCAGTTGGTGTTGCAGCAATCCACATGAGCTCAGAGGGTCACTGTGTGTTCCCATTATGCAAGCGAACTGGTGTCGTCAGTAGACTGAACACTTATCTTCATCAGGTAACCGTAAGACCCGTCACAGCCTAATATGAAATCCGTACATTTTAATTGCATTTTGCCACACTAATCCATGCAAACTTTTTCAGCAAAACCTCTCAGTTGATAGTATTCATCGGGAGGAAAAAAACGTTTCTATAGTACGTGCTTCCCTTCTGTAGAGTTTTGTGGATATATGCTCAGTGAACGGTGCCGTCAAAAACATGCTTTTCATTTATTGATTACTTAATGAGTCAAACTGTTGGGTCTGCTTTCTAAAGGCTAATGAATGATTACAAACGTCCATCAGCTGTCCGCTGTACTGATCTTCATTTTTCATGAAGAAATGTGTCATAAACCGCAATGTTTCCCACAAATGCACGGACAACAACTGAGGATATCCGACCTTAGTTCTTTGTACTTTTTCCCAGATGCTGCTACAATCTTCCTACGCCATCGAGTACTGCTTTCCTCCAGGTGCGTGTCTTTACTCCTCCTGAATAAATCGCCGTGTACCTGTGAGTTAATGAAATACTGCCGCCTTTTAATGGCCTGCGTCCACAGAATCCTTGTTTCTACCTTACCTTTCCGAAAGAAGTCACTTCTACAGGCGTAATGCACTACTCAAAAGGTTGCTAGAAACTTCGACAGCCCGAGACCGGTTTCGCCCTTCTTGGGGCTCATCAGGTAGACTCACCGTCCTAGTTTCCGTTAACCTTATGTTCAACTTGGGGAGTATTGTACTACATCTATACACTGTATCACGGCATCCCGAGTTTCGTACCAGCTGAAACATGGGGTGGCCTGGAGTAGCACATTCAGTTGTTCAAGAACATCATCATCAGCTGGGTTCCAGGCGAGTCTTCCGTCAAAACCAAACTGATGTGCAAATGAGTGTATTTGTAAAAGCCTATGCTCTTTCCGGAGTTTAATTGCTTACGACACCCCATGTACCAGATGATGAGGGTTAAATTGATAATTGCGAGGATACATTTCGTCCGGAACTTCGCTGCCTCAAGGAATGGCTGCAGACCAGACGCATTCGTAGCCTTTCGGATTCCCCAATAAACAGACCACATCAATCTAGGGGGTCGTGCATAATTTATACCACTATTATTAAGCGAATATATCCCTTCTCACACATTTCACGTTTGGGGTAATCTTGGGGACGAAAGTTTAAATGACACTTTTGTCCTGTATGCATCAGTTGCCTTAAGTTAGTTTGCTGACTATCGTCGAAAGCAGGCCAAAAATTAACCTCTCCGAGATGTGTTAAGCTTGGTCAGTAGTCACTCGATGGACAGCCTGCGGAATTTTTTCTGGTTTATGCATCACGCCAGCTCGTAGGAAACTTGAAATAGTTCACCAGCATGCTCTCCAATCGAAATAAACAACAGGAGATTGGGGCAGTCTCCGCCCTTTTTGCTTAATGCTCCTTGTTTTGTTCAGCGACCAGGCCCATAGGAAAGAAAATTATTTATTTGAGCAGGGCATCCCTTGATTAAAGGTTCCTTACTGAAGAGTTATACTGTGTATTCCACTCAGAACCATTTTCATGGAAGACTGGCAAATACGGTGTCCCCACCATATGGCAATGGAATATTCAGCGCTTTCTGTGGGTAAATGACTTGAAGGGTTGCTTACTCCGAGATGGGTGATGGAAAAAAGTTGTCCAGTAAATAGGGGTAGTTTTTATCTCTTCGCAGGATCTAGTGGATTGTTGAGTGCTCGCTGTTGGTCGTATATGATGCGCACAATATATCTGCATGTAAGAAAGTTTAATGTGAAATCATACAGTATGTAAAATCATCCGTCTTTGAGAGCCTGACTTTGAGACCTCGCCATTGAGGATATAAGGCGCAAAGGTATAGCTGGTTTCTTCAGTGTCCTTGAGCACGTGGTGTAATAAACCAGTATTTAAGTTTTAGTTGACCTTATTTATTTGGCCACTCATGCAAGAATATTTGCGTGTGCCAATGATGGGGAACTGTGGTGGGAAAGCTATCTATGGGTAGCCTCGGCTGCAGGTTTTTTGTACACCTTGTTAGGACGTAGTGCACGAAATGCTGCTAGGATCACTCCAGTTAATCCTTCAGATTTCTCGGACACTTGATTGGAACTTGATGTGTTGATCTCTGAACCCCCCCACTATACTGAATATCTTTCGGTTCGAACTGGAGCACAGTTAAGTGAATATACCATGAATAAGTTGTCCAAGAGGTGTGAAACACAGTTTGAAACAACCTGGACGTATGGAGATCAACCTATTGACCCAAGACTCAAGGACTATCGTTAGTTACGACCGGAAGATAAATTTTTGGTGTGTTTTGTTCGTGACATTTCGTACCATATGGGCTCTAATTTGTGCCAATTTTTCAGTTCCTTAGTTTGTGAATGTTAATGGACAACGAACATTTTCGACTTAATCTCATTCCCGACTAATGGCTATCCAACCAATGGTCTTTATGTTGCGAAACGATAGCCAAAATATTTGAACTTGCATGTTTATTACTGCATTACTGTGCTGATTGGAAGTGAATTTCATCCGGTTTCCAGGAACTAAAAGAACCAAAAGGTCCTTCACTGACCTGAGCTATACATCAACAATATGCTACCTATGCGCTATTGTCATGTGAGGCTACTCGCTTATGAAGATCGCAGACGAAGATCACTACGAAACAACCCCTTTTCGCTCGATGATTAGAACTTGGCTGTTCCATTTGTCCAGAATTCAGCTTAATTATTTTCTCTAAAGGCTGCACTTCATTCAAAGTTTCAGATAATAGTTAATCCCAGGTTAAATAGGTGAGATTTTCACCGGCTGGTGTGAGAAGAAAGAAAGAGAACCATTAATTTATTAACAGATTTTAATGCACCTAGATTAAAAATGGACACATTACTTCAGAATTTGACCGCCTAGTAGCTACGAAAGTTCACTCACAAATGGAATATCCATTAGATCGATCTGAGATATTGTTGATCGAACAGTCAATCATGTGACATGAACTGCCTACTCGAGAAATGAGCGTCACTGTATCCTCACAAAATTCATCACGCTGCTGGCCAAGCTGTATTACTACTAATCTAGATGTCCTGGGCTTGGAGCACCCTAGGTATTTGTGAGACCATTACCAACATGGGTGAAACAGATAAAGGTCTTAACTTTTCATCATGGATAGACCCTGCCCACAGGGGTGAAATCACTCGACCGAGAATAGATAAAGCAAACCGTTCAGTAAGTGAATTTTGTGTTTCAAGGGACACAATAGACGGATAGGTACGAAACGCGCACCTACACTTTAAAGTTTACAGGAGGGAAGGAGAGTATCGTAGCCACTCAAATACCGGTTACCTGATAGCAATGTAGCAACTAGTGTTACAGGTTTGAAGTCTGGATGGCCGGAGGTCCAATCCAACCCTCCCCCCCCAGGTGTAAAAGTCCGAAATGTGCACTGGGTGGCAAACCAAAGTATGTGAGGTTTGCAGATTTATTTGCTCTTGACTGTCCATCGTGGAATTCCTGTGACACAACGATAATGTTGATCTGTGTAGGTTCTCAGTGTCTTCCGTTCTCACGAAAACATGTTGGATCGGCTGCTGATAGGGGACTATCTCAGTGTCTAACTGATCGGGATTGTGGCTCTTCTTCTAATGTCAGTCCTTGATTATTAGGCTCATTTTATCTTTTGCCTTCGAAGTTGAAGGTCATTCGCGGTCGAGCTTCTACTGCACTATTTACTTCTGCTTCAGCTGCACTTCTGAACAGTTTTCTGTTTCTTTGTCATCCTTTCCTGGTGTGCTGCTGTTTCTACTGACGCTCCTGTTTTTATTGCTGCTAACTATTCTGATGGCTGTCCTGGCGCTGTGGAAAAGGCTAAAACCCCACGCTCTTGCAATCTTGCAATCGTAGTTGATCTATCGAATACGGGTGACAGGATGCGTCATCTCTACGTCTCGGCCAATAGTCAAGTAGAAAGTTCAAGACAAGTTAGCGATGTGTTCGATCCGTCGGCTTTATTCTAGGGTTGGATCATCTCCAGCGGGTCAACTGTCCATAATATACTGAAGTCATAGTTTCCATTGTATGTCTATTCTATGAATAGTTGGGTCTGTCTGTGAATGAATAATTTCGCTTTCACCAGACAAGCTGAAATGAAGTAAGTGGAAAACAAGATGAAGTTAGCCACATAAATATCAACTTTTGATCGGTCCATTCAATGAGCTTTATTTTCCTCGTTTAACCTAAACCGTCATCCTTTATTCATGTCCACCTAGGTCTTTATTTCTGATGAAGTCCAGCATAGCTTATGTGATTTCTAATCACCTTTCGGCTGGAAGTTTCCGGGACCTCACAAAAAGTTTTATGATAAGCAGGTGAGGATGGGTGATCAGTTATCTGCAAGATAGAGTCGTTCATAAGGGGGTTATTATCGGTCGAAACTTCAACTGGGATAATAACTAGCTCCTAATTCCAGCGTTATCAGAATGTGTAGAAGATAAATTCGGAAGACGATCGTTCAAACGAGAGTGGTGTGTGACTATGAACAAATTCGGTGTAGTCTATAAGCTGCACACAAAACTGATTGCACCCCCATTCTTCGATATTCTCTTACGGGCGTTAGGGAGAGTGCACTTTTCACCACCACCACATGCTCCTTGATAAGCCCAGGAACAATCCTCAGGAATGAGCATTTCTCTACTAGGATCAGTCTGGGGTACGCATAACACAGGCTATATCAATATGGCCAAATCTGGCAACGGACAACTGCTAAAGAAAGCATAAAATCAATGCTGTGATGGCTTGTAGTAGTGACCTATCAAATGGGAAGTAGCACCATCGAAGGCTGATGATATCCCTTTGAAGAAAGCAAAATTGGTACCTAGGTTCCGCTTTTTGTCCCATATCCACTGAATGTCATTCGGCTTCATCCACTGGTGATGAGTGTAATCACCTCACTGCACACAACACAATTGATCCAAGCACATGGCAAGGCAGACGTGATAATCGTGGCATTAATGTTGCCATCATTAGTCGAATGAACAATCAAAGGTGAGACTGCCTTAACAAATCAAACAAAATGTTCGTTCACCTTCTGTGGCTTACATTGCGCATGACTCTATCTAAAGACAGATGCTTTACCCGCCATGTGCACCAGCATGACTGTTTTTGTGAACGGATAAATAAATACCAAGAAAATTTATTTTGTATACAATTCCAGGCCTCATAAAAAACCCATCTAACGAATGTGCCAACGGAGTTGAATGTTTTCTCCATTTTGGTTACTAGTATGCACGTCCCTATTTGCAATATCCATCCCGAGTGGACAATAAAAATCAGTCGCTCGACGGATTTGGGTCCCAATAAAGAGAGACCAGCGCTTCTATCTCCCACTACAAGATCATAGGCAGCTTCCGTAGTCCCCAGTGAACCTTGATTATTGCTCACTTCTGACCTGACCGGGCAGCTACGTTATTTCAAATCAACCTGAAACGATAAAAACAATCAAGTTTAAAATTCTTTTGACGACTGAGCCAAACAAACAAAGCTGACGAAATGTCCCTTGAGGACGTTTCTTTTTTCTCTGAGGAAGACGAAAATTTGGGTCATATTTCACGAACTGGTCATTGTAACCTCGCATATGCAAACGAGTATGTACGGGGTAATGTGGTTATCAGCTTAGTCTACCCAAACTTGGCGTTGGGATGTGACGGTTAATTGTGCAAATATTCAGTTGCAAATTCACATGACACTAACGTGGCTCTCAAACAAATCTCCTTCACAGTATTATTTAACTAAAAATGTACTGCACAAAAGACCACCTCAGTCTAGCAAGCGCTGCTCATTCAAAGGAGAATTTTCATTCTAACTGAAACACTGGGTGACCTTTAAAAAAAACACCCAGTGGAAGAGTATTATAGGTGAAAAATTCAGCCGAGCTTCATCAAGGTTTTCGTTCACTCTTTCTTAATATAGAAACAGGAGTTTGTCTATTTACTCATCACTCTCCAATTGAAGTAAGAACTAATACTGGTTGGAATGCGCTGACCTGATTTTACTGATAAACATCGAAAGAGGTGGAACCGGTGTTGGACTATCTGTAAGCTTTCATCAATCCTAAGAGTTTCGTGATATCAAGGAACTTCTCTTTGCTTCGCCAAATGCGTGATGGATGTTTTCCCGAATTTGTTCCACTTAAATCTAGCTTCCAGAACCAGCTGTTATACTTGATTTACTTGTGAACCGATAATTTGGTTTTCCACTTCAGTTCACGAGTATGAGCCGTCAGGATTGTCGGCTGTTGCTGGCTATGCTCATCATTCGGTTATTTACGTTCCTTCAACTGCAGAGCAAACCATCCACTAAGGTTCAGAAGTTTCGCTCTACCCAACCGAAGAATGAGCTTGAAAGCACAGTTGTTGGAACGCCGAATGCATAGTGTTATCTCAGGGCCCATTTTCGTTCCAAGTGCACTTTTCACGTCCGAAGTTCATGTCGGTTTGTGTGCTATTTTTTGAACCGTCACACAATTCAACAGATTATAAGTACTTTGAACATCAAGTCACTAGTGTTTAATTGACCCACTGTGCTCTAAACTATGCTTCTTTTCGGTTAGGAAAATCAGCAACAAAGTTAACTGTTCCCTTGCTTTCACCACTTACACATCAAAATTTCTTACTTAAATACCTCTGGCGTAACTTCACTCGGAACGGTGTCAAACAGATGAAGACCGTAATTCGCATGACAGTAATGTCACGTGACCTTAGCTACGTTTGACTTGTGACTGTCCTGGCAAATGCATATTGCTATGACTTTATGTTATGCTTCGTGCCAGAAATCTCACCATATGTGTGACCTCCTCTGTGTGTACACACAACTGACTAGTCGTGATGGTTTCCTGGTTTACTGTGAATACTTACATAGATACAGTAACAAAGAAAAATGTCACCGAGCAACTGTTACAATATCGCTACCTATGGAATGGAGTAAGGCAATAACAAACCTATTCAAGCATAGCATTCCCGGGATTATGCTGAAGCCAATGAAGATTAAGCGAAAAATGACAACCGACAAGGTTGCTGAAAACTCCCCACAGCCCATGACCAGTTTTACCCTTCTTGGGACTCATCAGGTAGGCGCACTGCGCGAGTTTCTCGTCAACCTTATGTCCTAATTGAACTCAGTACACAATAAATCCAGTTGAAGCATATCATAGATGAGAGGGTCAGCTTTGATTTAATTGAGTCTATGTGCGGAAATGTGTATACGTGATGGAACTGGCACAGTTTCTCAACTGTCATATTCCCTTGAGAAAGGAGCCGAACAAGTCTTGACTATTAACTGATCAAAGTTGCAAAACTGTCTATCACTTAGAGCGACGACGGGTGAACCCGCCGGGAAGCTTAATGAAGGTCACGTAGGATTAAGAATCATTCAGTAAGAACCTCTGAGTCATAGGACTGACAGATTGAGGTGCAATCTGAGAACTTAATGTACAGACTATTGATTTTTTTCCAGCGTCAACTGCTACTTCGACCACCTCAAACCTCATCTGGTAGATTGCACCTATTAGTGTAATCACGACAAAATGATTCACAAAATCCCTGTTACAAACTGACGTCTAGACGCACCAACAGTTTCACGAATGATACGCTGCCAAGAAAACCTGACAAAGGAGCGGGAACAGCGTTCATGAACAAGGGAGATTACTTTAAAGAGATGACGCAGATTCTGAGTGGCACATGAGCATTTGGCAAAGAGCAGAAGGCGAATGTTTAGACCCAGGCAACTGAGGATCAGCTACCAAATTTTCTGAAACGCTTAAGGAATGAAGGTCTGTTTTCTAAAAACCTATTTCAAAGTCTCAAGCCTGCCACAAGAGTTGATGAACCGTCTTAGGTTCATAAGGAAGATACCCCAGGGAGAGCCTATTTGAATTTTCGCTATTCCTCATATCATATGGCATTTCAGTGGTTTTTCAGGGTTGCAGAACCCGCACACCAACGTTTATGCCAGTATATCCTCCATACCCCTTTCAGTTTGTGCAGCTGATAAAACATGCTAATTTGTTACTTCTACGTAACCTCGAATTTTTAACGTCAACAACAAATTTTATCTGTGGTTACGTTGACTCATCAGATTTGTCACTCCAATTCCCCACCACCTCTTTAAAGGGGCTACTTCCCCACTACACTCCTAACAAACAAATCCAAATTTAAACTGACTTTTTGCCGACAAATCGACGGAATCTCCACGGTCTCTCTTCTTGGTGACCTGTTGAGTGAAGCTTTTATGGGTAAACTGAAACTTGGATCAGCGAACGGAAAGACTAGACGTAATCACTTTCACCGAGGGTACTTAGATTGTATTTCTGTTCTTGATTCATACGAATTGGGGATGGATGTTTTCCTAGACAATTTCGACCAGGCCATCCACACGTTAAGTTTACTTTTGGAGCAATTAATTCCGCTTCCTGGACGTTAAATTAATCCGACTGCCGATGGCTTCAATCAAGGCATAAGTCAACAGAAAGCCTATGTGAACGGAATAGTCCCTTAAACTTCCATAGGTTTGTGCTACTGAAGCAGAAACAAAACCTGATTTCCACTTTAGCTAACTCAGCAACAAAAATCTGCTCTATGGATGTATTGGACTCTGAACTGAAGCACACTGCCCATGAGCTTAGAGCCAACGATTATCTAGAGAGATTTACAGCCAGGTCTAAATCTGGACGTCTTATTCAGCCGTAATAACCGTTGCAGGGGGCGAGATGGCCCAAGTGGTTACAGCGCGAATTTACTGACCGGAAGGTCCGTGGTTCGAACCCGACCTCTGCCACTCGACTTTCCCTGTCTAGGCATGGGCGACCTGGCAGTATGCCAGCCCTCGTGCTTCCTCCGAGTGGCATGGCAGTTAGGCACTGGAAGGGTGTTACAGCTGAACGATCATTATTTTGTTATTAATAACCGTTGCAAAGAAGCCGGTCCACTGGAGTCTAACATATAAAGGCGATCCGTTAGTAGACATTCGATCAATTCTTGTCTCAAACCCCACAGTTTGGTAAAATAGTACATCAACACCTCTTGCCAGAGCATCAACAAACTCAACGGCTTGGCCAAAAGCTCGGTTGCGTCACACGTTACTGACAAACGTCACGTGATGAACCCAAACTTGTCTTTTCAGTTTATCTGCCGATTAACTAATAGACTACCAGTATCGATCCAGGGGCTTCGCCCCTACTTCAGCCAAAGCAGTCGCAATAAGATCTCGAAACCGGCAACTACGCAATCAAGCACGATTCGTACGAGCACAAATCGACGGACCCTGTCGCCCTACGGCCCTCATGACCACTTCATGAAATCCAATTAGAGGCAAACTAGATTTCATTTCAGACCAAAATGTCCGGATCTCCTTATTTTCTAATCTTGCCGTTTACTTCATTATTTGCCCCTAGGTTAACCATTATATATGTGCTGACTCAACAACCAGACCCCGAAAACATTATTATTCGGTCGTGTTCTTGTTGAAACTATGAGAATATTCAAGCGAACTGGTAATCATAGACGGAACGAACACAACTCAGTAGTTAGCAGTTTGAACGATCGAAAAGCAACCCTATATCCATGCCAATCACTGTCACATTTACGGATTTCTCACAATTCTCGTGTTTACAAATGATGTGAGGTTTTAAAAAATTCACTGAGAGGTATGAAAAATTGAAGAGAAATTCAAGAGTCCGGTTGTGGTTTGGCCAGAGTTGCACACGGTAAAAATAGATGTGCAGCACATTCAGTTGTAGAATATCATAAGCGGGAGGTTCAGTTGAGTCTCCCGTGAAAACTAAACTGGTTTGCAAATGAGTGTATTTCTCGAAAACAGTCCAATTTGGGTTCAATTAGAACATAAGTTTGACGGAAACTCGGGGACAGCTCCTACATGATGAGCCCCAAGAAGGGCAAAACCGGTCGTGGGATGTCGAAGAGTTTTCAGCAACCTTGTGAGTAGTTTCCTCTATGAAAATAGATGCTAGATGGTTTGTGAAGATGACCATTGGACATCAGTTCTAGTAAATACATAGATTTACAATAGTCTTCATTATTAAAGTAATGGTTGTTTTAGGGTAGCACACCATAGAGCATGGTCCATTGTTTTGATTTGAGGCATTGGGAGCAAGCACAAATGGAAAAGGTGGCGGGGCGGATGAAACTAATGGGAAAGACGGCGCTTAATACTGCCACAACCCTTTTTAGACCCATAACAATGTTACTTGTCGTGAGAAGAGTTCGCATAAGTTATTCAAATGAAAAGCTACATCATAACATTTACCAGGTTTGTGGCCCAGAATGGCAAACAGAAAAGGCTTAACCCAAAAAAATTTGCGATGCATTTCCGTTCAAGGGCTTCAATTTAGTTGCTATATTTTTCAATTGATAGTTTTTTTCTGAATGTGGTATTCGAGATGTGCGCTGGATTTCTCTGATCAAATGTATATTTAGTTTTCATTACTTAAAGTGATGAACTAGTAGAGATTGCCAGTCTTCATTTCCACTCCGAAATGACAGCCGCATCGAGTCCCTTCTAGATTTGAGAAACAAACTTAAGTCTTCCAGCAAGATGACTTTCTACGCACCCTTCCAGCTAGTGATTCGAACTCATCACTGCCTTAGCTCTCTCCGTTTGAGGGCATAACTCCTCATTTACTATGTGACTCACAAACTGTTGTATCATAACACATAAAACAAGGCTCATTATTTTATATTGATGTAAGATGGAGAAGATACTTTGCTTTGAGTACAGATTTATTCAACAGTCCCATAAAAGATTATAGAGACAAGGTTGCGTACACCAAAACTCCTGGTGTTTTAGAGCAGTAAAAGGACCTATGCCGGCGTGTTTGCACATACGTTTGAAAACAGATCAGCCACCATAAGTTATAGTGAATGACAAGGGTGCCATTTGGCGAATAAGATAATGGCTGCCTCGATCGTGTGCACACAACAACTCGAATAAAACACACGTTAGCTTATCACAATAAAGTTTCCTGTCTATTCAGATTCTCATAACCGCCACCTCACCAACTCAAGGCGCTCACACCGCTAAAGTGGCCATTTTGAGGTGGTTCCCCGTTATCATAACCCATCCGAAACTTCACCGGCAGTGTTTTATCCCTTGAACAGTCAGTCTGCGGGATAATACACTCAAGATGAACAGGTTCCACATAGTGAATGATTGGTTGCAGATTCCGACCATGGACCAAATGTACGTTTCTATCATCCGATGAGAGACCTGTGGTTGACTTACGATTGAAAAGACATCAGGAGTTATGTTCAGCTATTTATGAGAACGTAGACCCAGCTGTTGTCCCGTGGAACCATCGTGCAGGCAAGAAAATGAAAATTTACATTTGAAATGATGACTTTAAACACTAACTAGCTTGCTATCGCCACATTTATCCCCGAGGATCCACAAAAGCCTCGCTGTATGTGAGGCAGGTGAAGTAAGTAGCCTCATTGAGCTCTCCCCCAAATGCTTATAATCGACCTGCCACTCGAATGACCCTCACTAAAGCTGTGAAACTTTTGAGAATAAAACCGTAACAAACATATAATTTTAAGCAAATATGATAAGGGAGCACCACATTGAAGGTAACACTCGTACTGCTTCAACTACAATGCCTTTGGGATGTTGGACTCCCAAATTCATCAATAAGCCTTGTTTTTGAGCACTATACTGGGCTGGAACAGATAAACTAAGTCGGGAGTTTGACCAACGGCAAAAAGTAGACGCATGATAATGTCGACCTCAAAATTGCCCCTGTGGTTATGATCAAGTTGTTTATGGGTTTCTATATCATGGTGACATTTAGCTGGTTATTTCCTGCTTATAATGCGGCACCCACTTCCACGTGAAATTAAATGCAATTTTGTTCCTGGTTTTGCAGCATGTTTAAGGTGAACCACTGCTGCAGTCAGGGAGCATTTAGCGGTTGTGAATAAACCCAGAAAAAGCTAACAAGCACGATCACCGAAACAGATTCGTACGATCGGAACCTCATAACAACTCACATCAACCTCACCGACTCTTTTACCTCAGCAGTCTGAGCTGGCACAAAGAACGTCAAGGATGATAAGATAATTCAAAGTTTGGTCTATATGCTAAAAAAAGTCTTTGCCCTCCATCCCCGTGAACGGATAACATTAGGACGAAATGATTCCCCTCAGATTGGCTTCCGCTTCGAACGTCAGGATACAACTTAATCCGAGCGAAGCTGAGCCATTTGAATAACAAACTAATAAACCAAACAATTTTTCATGAATCACACAGTTTTTTATTGAGAAGGGAAATTTCGGGAATGACTTATTGTGAGGATACAGTGCGAGACGAACCTAAAAGCGCCACAGCGTTTTCATGCCGTTTACAAACGTAGTTCATTAACGGAGTGAATATAGTACTGCATAGAGTGTCATGTTCGGCGGCACCGAACCCGCCATGTACTGGACATACAACGGTGGTCTAAGTTGTACCAAGTTTCCACTCTTCGTTTACGCGTCTTACTCATTAAGAGGAGATTCATTTGACCAATGGCATTTAATCCCCCAGATAATTCGATTTATGGGCAACTTAGCTTTTGATATTTCGATCAGAATTGTCAAAAAATTGTACAAAACGGGTTGAGACGCTTCTAGTCAGCTGAAAGGTTTGAATCTCCATCAGAGCCTAATGTTACGCAAGTAGAACACACTCTGAAGGGCTATCTGGGATAATATAACGCCACTAGTTAGTACAACGTATTGTTTGACTGAATGTTTGTAAAAGTATTGGTGGCACTGCGGAAAGTGAATCCAAAGTTGACCATTCATTAGTCCATGAAGCTGAAGTTAGTACCCTGTTCAATCGCTTTTTCGACAAACATAACCTAGTACTACATTTAGTGTATAAAAAAGGCTATCATGCATACTAAAGGCCACTGATGGAAGTAATCTCTTTCAATATTCACAAGTCAAATTCGTAGGTGTGGAGTGCCTGAGGCCGGACTTTCCGGTCATCCTCTCGTTTCATTTTACACGAAATGGCCCTCAGCGAATGGAGACCGCTGACTGATTAATAATCAGAAGAATGTGTGACTATCGTTATGGTCAGAATTCTGTCCCAGTTTATATTCAAACCAGTACAATGTCTACGTAGTCCTACTTGTCACGGTAAAGTCAAGGCAGCATGAAAAAACTAGAATGGTTTCATGCTCGACTGTATTCAATTGAGCTGTTGGATCGAAAAATTAGCCCACTAGAATTGTGCCAGAGTGTACGCACTGGCGTTTTGGTCAGCCGCCGAAAACTTCAACAGGCTATATGTAGCTGATGAGTCTAATGCAGGGATAATCAGGATTGGCCTTAGACGCAAGCGAATTACTCGTATGGCAATTTGTTTATCGATGTGCCAAAAGTTAAGACGACTGCACCGCGTTTGCCCTCTGTGTGCTGCTTCCTTGTTGGTGACTTCCGTTTTTCGGGCTCGTTCGATTATTGTTGGACACTCTGATCACTTTACAACCCCGACAAGCTTGCTTTTTTTGTCCAGCTGAATGAACAGCGCATGCAGCCTCATTGTTCTCTATTTCACAGCTGGGAAATATGATGAGCACATTGTGAAACTTTTACCAGATCTATAGAAGTAATGAATTGATGTGTCTTTGTTCAACCACAGTCACTGGCCACCACTAGGGAGTTTCAAAACGGGACTACCCACCCGTATACCGCGTTTGTCGAGTAATATGAAGTAAATTTTAGAGTAAGCAGAACACCGTCAGAGGAGACGTGCTGGAGTCGGTCCAAACCCCGTCATCTTTCCGACTTAAGTGATGCTACCCAGATTAACAACCAAAACCAGCATCTTCAACCTGCCACATTTCGATCGTGTGATTTGCTGAAAAGCCTCACATCAACCACCTTTCCATTAACTAAACCCCCACCCCACGAAAACTCGACTAGACGGGACAAGTCTAATAAAAGTTCAAGTAGCCTTTGCGACCCTCATTCAATCCGCAGGAAATCACATCACCAGCTGGTTCGCACAATAACACATCAAACTAATATCAAGTTCAGTCGGGGGAGGGGTTCAGGGGATAGCGCTTTAGCTCAAAGGGCGTGCATACCAATTCAAGTCCCGTCAGTCCTCCCACTCTTGCTAGGAAGGTTCTGTCCAGTATACCACCATCACCCTCGCCGCTTGTCCTGCTGTGTCAAAAATTGCGTAATTCGTGTGGCGAGTCTGGGGCTCACGAGTTTTTTTAGGATAGTGAACCATCTGGCTTGTGCGCAGCTTGTACGCTCATTTAACCAAGTCGAATTGCCCCTGAGAACGTTCAGTTCTAAACCATGGTGTAGATGGTAGACCAAGTTATTAAATGGCATTAGTTGAATCCGTGACCCAACATTCATCCCCTGAAGCCTCTATCGGGTTCCACCGCGCAGAACAACGGAGTGAGATAACAGCTAGATGTGGGCGTTTTAAAAATGGACCCAAGATAATTCTCGGACAAGACTCAAGACGATGATCTATTGCTTGCCAAGCAGGTACCCTGTTAAGTAAATTACCGCGTACGATGCTTCTTTTCGCACTTATGCACCTGAGTTCATGTTGATTCGCCATACCTCTGTAGAACACTCACCCGGTAAGCGAGAAGTTGAGGGTTTGATTCTCGTCCAAGGACTCTGTCTTTTCGTTTGCACTGTATGTATGTCGGGGCCATATTCAAGATTTCCAAATCCCCTCCTCTCCTACACTGCGAATTTTTCGAAAAGCTACTGTTGACGTACATTACCCACTTGTACCAAAACAATCACGTTGTCACATACCACGTCCTTATGGAACAGTCACATGTCATTCAACATTGCGTTTGGAAAAGGTTCTGTCGCACATGAGGAGAGTACATGAATGGAAATTTACCAGAATCGAATTATTTCTCTCTACTATAGCGCATCATAACTATCTGTCCCCACAAGCGGTCTGTCCCCAGGCAAGTCCACTCCAATGAACTTCGTGGATTTTTCTAAATCAGGCCTAGTGAACAAATTAGTATAGAGCAACACTGAGTGAAGTTTGTCCGTGCATCTACAGAACTCTCAAAAACTGTTCGAAAAAGATCTTTGTGGCAAAGAGTTGTTAACGAATAAAGTAGCCGCACCACCCGGTTGGTCCTGAAATTAAACTGACTTTGAATCTTCGGGTGCAAATTTCCTCGTGATACAATATCCCCCCAAAGCGACCAGAATAAAAAACATTGAAGTAAGTTTTCGGGCAGTTTCAGAACTTATGCTGTTTCAGAGTATTCAAAAATCATGAAACTAATGACATTGGTTACTTGTTTGACTGCTTATTTTTTTCAACCTAAGATAGAACTTCGGTTTCTGAGTACATTAAGAAAGTGTGCTCAAGTAATTTTGAGTGCACCGAAAGTTGACAAGTTTTGGAATGTCACAATAGGCCAGGCGTATTCACATGCGTACACTTCGAAGAACCCCCTGTCTGGGACAGAGTAATCCTGGGATTTTGATCTTTAGTAACCTCCATAGGTCTGAAATTTCCTAATGGATGTAAGAGCAAAGTGCAAAGACCTTGCGAACTGTGCCGGAGTATAAGCTGTACTCCCTGTTAATTACCCATTGCAAACCACGAACAAATACGTTCTCACTCCATGTTTCCTGAATAGCCTTTAGCGGTTGATTGCTAAGACACGTACTCAACTGACCTTATGTTTCTTGTATCATTCTATGCAGACATTTTACATGCCAGCAATACCGGCAAAGCTCAAAGCGCAAAACGGTCGTATATGAAAGTACAGCATGAACGAAGGTCACTGCGGCTCTTCAGGCTAAGTCGTCCTGGTAAATTACTCATGGCACACCGACGGGAATGATCTTGCGTCCTTTTGAGCCAACCACGTATGAGGCTTTCATGTATAGAGAAATCGTCTGAATGGTGGAGTGAAATCTGTAGGAGTCGAGTAATGACGCAGAGTAACTATATGAAAAGGTCATAGTCTACCGAACTTTATCCGCTCTGACTAACTTAGCCATCATTCGTTCTCGGACTTTTATCACTTGGGACATTTTTCTGCGCAGTGTGACACAACCAATGGTGTAGTTACCTGGGACCAATTCCCCTAAGAAATATCAACCGACTCAGGGTGTGATGCCTGTCGTTTTGAAACAATATTTAATCATTAGACCTGCCAAAAACAAGGCTGCATGGTTCACTCGAGCGGTCATTTGCAATATGTACATAAGTAAAACTGCAGTTGGCGAAGGGGAATATCTTCTGACTATGGTGAAAGGAATCCGCGGATTTTTGCGAAATACACTCATTTGCAAGAAAATTTGGTTTTGCGAGAGACTCACCTGGAACCCAGCTGAATCTCTCAGCTTCCTGATCCATAAAACAGTGTGGATCACAATGCGCTACTCAAAAGGTTGCTGAAAATTGTTTGACGGCCCACAATCAGTTTCGCCCTTCTTGGAGCTCATCAGGTAGATTCAGCAGGGTTCCAGGTAAGTCTCTCGCAAAACCAAATTTATTTGCAAATGAGTGTATTTCCCTAATTTAGTGCAATTTGGTTTCAAGCAGAATATAAGGTTGACGGCAACTCAGGGACTACGCCTACCTGATGAAGTATTACAACTGAAGTGCAGTCCACAGATGAACATCAAACTTCACCTCACTGCAAAATAAATAGACAGTCAAGGAGCAAATGCTTCCCAGAATGAATGCCTTCGTTGACATGTATTATGCAAGCCATACTGAAAAACATGTCACAGCGTCGCATTTTTTTCTCACTTTGTGTATTCTTGCTACTGATCACTATCCACCGAACACATTTCTAAACAATAATAGAGCGGCTATCAAAGCAAATGAAGGAAAGTGTAAAGTGGTATTCGGGCACACTTGGTCAACGTCCCGAAAAACTGTAATTCCACTGGTCAAAGCGTCAATCATTAACCATATTCATAGTGGAGCACTTTTCTTGGGACGATCAACTGTTGAACTATGTTCGTAGCAAATTGTAACGGTCCTTTTATTAAAAATTCCAAAATACAGTCCAAAATACAATTAAAAACCTTCATCATCTATTGATATATACACTATTATTAAATACTGAGGCTCAACTTCCATAAGTAACTTCTAGTGTGACGTGAAGTCAATTGTATTTGTGAAGTCTATGATTCTATGTGGGTCGATATAATATCAAGGAGCACAGACCTAAAAAAAGGGGACAACTAGGGTTCTAAACCGAAAAAATGCACTTCTGGATGGATCTTTTGGCTTCTCATTTGCTAGGTGGTTGCTAGTTGGGCTGTCGAGAACCTCGGTTGATACCGCTCAAAAGTAGCCTGATTGTCCGTCCATTGGAGTCTCTGTTTCCGTTCTCAGAGTATGCTGTTCGGTCTGACCAACACGCCCTCCTACGGTTGAGCATATATCAGTCGCTTTAACATATGTTGCGGATATTTCAGAGCTTTGGAGAACAGTAAGCCACATAAAGATTTTGATGTTTCCAAGCGCGTAGAGTGAACCAATGCCCACCAGCCCAGTGGAGGTGATCTCTCACAATAAAAATCCTTGTGCCCCCAAACTGTATCACTCGTAGAAAGGGGAAACTGAAGTAAATTTGAATAATGCGTGGCAATTATCTGTCTGAGAAAAAGGTCTTCTGAAGGAATGGGTGTAACATTCGTACTTCTCTGGTATTATGTGCCACAACGGTGTAAGTTGGAGGTTCGTAACTTCATGATCCTTGATAGGATTGAGCAAGTCAAATCACACGCGATTAGATGTGACCCGGAATTTTTTAGCGAAAATGCTGAGCTTTTGGGTAGAATGGGTGTTTCCGAGTTTAGAAGCATATCAGCTGATGTGCTAAGTAAGCATATTCGGTTTGTAGCTCAGAGTCTGGGCATTCGTGCATATGAAAATCCGATAATTACTTTTTATATTTGCACTTCAAAATCACAGCAGCATTGTCTTTAGCTTTGGGGAAATCCACATTGTTGGTTCGATAGACAGATACCTTCCCATGTTGGTATGGTAAATGTAATTCAGCGGTATAAAGCTGTTTCACGTCGGTTCATGGGGGAGGCAAGTGAATAATATGACGGACAGAACAGTGTGCTGTGGACATCTTGACGAATGAGAGAATAGGCCTCTGATAAGTTCCGTTTTCTGAGAAATTCCCCCCTTTACCATAAAAACGGGGTCCGAGCTTGTATCTACCGTCTATTGCTTGTCATATAAATAAAAAACAGCTTCCGATGGACCGGCACAACACAAGATAAACCGGGGGGATTTTCATTGTCATGGACAGTTTTAGACTCAATCATTAATCGACGTACTTATAAAGTGATTGAGGAGACAAACTACCAAGTGGTTTCCCGCTGCGCACATCCATAAAGCTGAACTTTTACAAAATGTGCTACCCAAGTGCAAATTGAACCTTGCTATGAACTTATCCTCACTGAAATGCAATATCAGCAATACAATACACCGGCACACATTATCATTCAACCAGAAGGTTGAGACCAATATATCAATTTTCGCTTCCCTAACCCAGCCTCGTCTCAGAAATCAACAACAGAAGAAAGTGGACTTTCGCAGTTATGCCGAGCTGATGATGTGATGCGGAGAATACTTATCTTGTATGACACTTCAGAATCCCAGTTCGAATGTTCTCTTTGAAACAATTGCATAATTCGTTCATCCTATCTGCAGTCTTGATTGTCATGCAAAACGATACCGAGAATTGACCCTAGGTGACATCATATCTAATCACTTAACACAGAAATGTACATGTGTCACTGCGACCTTAAGGATTCGTGCCTTTTTTTGGTTTACGCAACTAGGTACATTCTCAAACATTCTCAGTCAGCTCAAGCTGGCTTTTTGCACTTCGGATTTGCGAGATGGAACTGATCAAGATTCTCACGACCGATCACAAAAACAATCCACTACAGTCCGAAGGAGAGCTACTGGAGCAGAACGAAATGCAAACTGGAAGCAAGCGGGAGGTGAAAACGCCAGGGGCACAGTGACCAATCAAAAGCGTTTTCGACCCCTGCCACACTGTCGACTTCCTGCGATGTGTGAGGGGAGGGCAGAGAGGTGAGTGATTTGACGCTTGATCTTGTCCAAATCTCAACCAATCGGAACGCGACTGGTGAATTGGTCCGGCATTGAAAGTTATGATATTGTCACATAACGTTATAATGTTCGGTACTGTTATTCCGTTCATCGTGCTTACTCAAGCATAACAACCTTTCAGCTGCGTAGACAAAACGTAAGAAACACTAATCGGTCGAAAGCTTAAGGTGAGTTCTTTGGTTTTCAGTTGTTCAGTTTTGAAGGCGTTTTTAATGTGTCCCACTTATTAGATAGCTTTCTAACTCCAGGGCAATGAGGCCTGTCCCACACGCACCCATTCGGTCGCCTCATAATTTCTGCGTTCTGTTTTGAGAGTACTACACACTCAACTTATTTGTATTCGTGAACGTTGTTGTCACAATTCCTAGTTAAGCTCTCATATTTGAATAGGTCAGGATGACCCTTTCCGCCTTCGACTGGTACATTCTCGTTGACTCACTTTTCTCTTCTATTGAGGTTTGTGAATGAGTGACCGAAAAGTATTGGCGGTGCTCGTATACAATCAGTGAATAATGATTCGGAATGCACGTAGTGAGGTAGATCGGACAGTTAAATTCCGCTCACATCACTTATGAATTTCTCTCTTGTGGGATTTTACCGATCGCAGCTCAGCTCAGGTGCACTTAGTTCACTTACCTGTTAGTCAGATGACAAAACTTTATTTCTGTGTGAACATTTTTTGGCTGACGTGGCATAGGCGCTCAGTCGTACTCACATATTGCCGCATAAACCTAGCATTCGTTCAGCACATGTGTATTTAGTGAGATCGAAGTCCTGGGGGTCCTCGGTATCGCATAATCAAGTCGATCAAACTATATCAACAGTAATGTAAGCTAGGGATAATATGAGTGTTCTTGAGTACGAAATATCAGTATCAGTATTCGCCTGCAGCTCGCTACTGGATTCACCCTGTTTATGGCTGGTGATAGGACATCCGTGACACACCAGAGATGCATGTTGTGTCCACTTGAATACCACTCTAATGTACTACGTAAGGCTAAACTCCAGGCCGTTTGTTCGGAGTGCAGTGCGTGTCACTTCATCATCATCATCACCATCGTCATCATCATCATCATCGAAAGCATGACATCAACGTTCAACACCAATGCTTCACTACCGTACAACCATGATTTATTTGAAAGCCTTATTGTGAAGAAAAGAGTAAAAGTGGACACGGAAGGGACTTAGTGCTAACTTAACACAATCATTCCGAAGTGCCTACACCTCCAGACATCCACTCAGGCAATCTGAACAAAAACTGACAACAAGAACGCCACTGACATCGGTTGGCAGCCATATCTTGTAGTGTCTCCAACCAGGCACAGTGAGGTTCACGCGGTCCCCATCCTGGAAGGCGAGTAGCACCGACAGCACCTAAGCGTTTCGTGATCTCCTTCATAGTCTTTTGCCAGGTCAAGGGTTGGCCACCTCTCTGTTTACGCCATTCTGAGTTGGGCATGGAAAACAGCATTCTTTTCGGCAAACGATGGTTTGGCATACGCAACACATGTCCCAATCAACGCAGTATTTGCTTAGCGTTTCACTCTTGACATAATATGTCCAGATTCTGGCCACGATCTCTCTTGCCTTAGTTGCGGTTGGTATTGATCAGTCGTAGAGACCGGAAGGTCATTAAAAACTTAATTTTGCTAGGTACCCATCTGTTAGGTCGGATATCCAAGATTCCGTCAAGACGAGAGGAACAGTTGATTGTGGGTATTTTTTTATCAACATCCTCGTATTAGTTACAAGGAAAAACAAGAATGTCGAAGCAACCGAAACAAAACATGGTCAGTTCTCAACATAATCCATCGAAAAATTATAGGTAGGGTAATCATTCAGTTGCCATATGAAGCTCACGGTAACACCAATTTAGTGTGCAAATGTTACTGTGGTCTATTAGCATTAATCTAAGCTGAGGGCAACACCTTGTATGGGCAATTTCATCCTTTTGTTTAAATCTAGAACGTTTGTCTGTATTTCCATGTAGTCGTAACATACGCTGCCAGTGGCAACGATCATGAGATTGGTGCTTTGTGTCGTTGAAACTTCACCACTTATTTCAATAATTTACTCGGGTTTAGATGAACTAGCCATGAACAGCACGTCACCAGGTACGTAAAGGGCAACTAACTTGAGTGTTATGACCCAAGAGCCTACGGCTAATGTGTCGTTTGTACTTTGTGCACGGCAATTTACTCCCTTATTCCAACTAGCGGTTCATGAAGGTAGAGTTATAGCTTATGATGTGCTCCACCGCACAATACGGTGGAGTGAGCCGCGCTTTCTGCTTTAAGGGAAGTGCAACTTAGCGAAACAAGTCTGGTTTTGCAAGAGGCTCACCTGTAACTCAGCTGGATCACTCATTAGTGATGATTCTAAGTGACACCTAATTTCAGCGTTGGGACACTTGTTTAGTTGTTACTACTCTGGTTAGTTGACGTTAATAAAAGTTTAGATTGGACTTTCATGAACAACTGAACCTCTTTAATAGGGTCGAATAGACCGTTGAGGGTATTATATCGCATGCATGCATCTATTGATGTTTATTTAAGAGTATATTGCACAGCTACAGTAGGTTGGGTTAATTCGTTAAGCTTTCGCGTCACCCCAAAAGCACCTTCATGCACACGTATCTTATCATCCAGTCGCGTGTGTGACCGCATGCTTTTATCCTAAAGCAACGTGATCAACCAGCAACTGCGGTGTAATTAAGCGGGATTATCCGAACTGGACCACACGTTTTTTGTGCTACAACGATCCGGTAGACATGCACGAACCGATAACGATAGTGACCTCAATCACCGTAGCAACCAACACACAGGTGCTATCATTTGAGTCCACCGTGCCCCGGTCAGGCTGATAAGCGTTAATCGATTGAAACTGAGTTCTTGTTAGGCACGTTGAATTCAAGATATGAGGAAAATAGGGAGGAGGAGTAGGATTAAACGTACCTTCGCCCTGTTCGCCGCCGACGTAAACCGTTAGAACCCGCAGTGAGGATAACACCTTATCCAATGTTGCTCACTTAGTGTTCTGACAACCGAGCCAGTGTGCAATGTCTGTTCTCGTGGAATAAAACCAGAATAATTTGCGTGAATGAATGCTCTAATGATTCATTTGTGTACCAATTCGATTTTGATGGGAGACTTGACTGAATCCAAAGGAATTTCTCGTTTGGTCTCCACCAAATAAATGTGCTGCGCCAGGCCATCCCGTCTTTCAGTTGGCACGGTATTCAAAATATTGCAGTATGCTTCAAAACGTAACACACTATTCTTGAGGTCGAAGTGTATTCGTTCGGTTTGCATCGCACAGTAAACTGGAAACTTCGTGTAGCTTCTGGTCAAGTTGTTTTGCGCTACAACCCACTGTGGAATTTCATGAATCCTGGCATGATTAAGTGACCGCATGAATGTGACCAATCGGTTACGCACAAACCCGCATAATTAATGGAGCACCAAACGGGATACCGCCATTATCTACGGAGTCCGAACTCGGATACAGCACCCACAGGTGTTGGTTACTAAAACCCGACGATTCCCTCGAGAATTGCAGCTAAATATAACACAGTCGGTCGGGGGAGGGTGTTGAGTACATTTGTATAAAATAGCTATGACGCAAAAATCTTTCTTCATTCAAGTATAAAGTGTGATTCGAACGTAACTCGACCCGACTCTTTGAGTACCTTCATGTGGCTAAAAGTTGGTCTTAATTAGTTTGTCATTCTTGACGCTAAAAGTAGTTCCGGATTGAACCGTCACTTGACTGGCTTTAAGATTGTGCTTAGTACGTCCTCGAGTCGCCAGCGTCGTCTTGAGTGCTTCTACCGATGTCCTCACCCAGGAATAATATGATAAACTCCGAGATTTCTTGGGGAGATTCATTAAGTCCTTTGGCTTAACGGGTGCTCTAACTCGGCAAGCTGGCTTTTAAAAAAATCAAGTGGCTAACATGATGTTAAATCGCGGGAATCAGCAAGTTGTGCACTAAGTGATGGAATGCAGTTCTAGGTACGTTAAAAATCTCGAGTTGCATATGTGACACTTTGTTGCACACTACTGGTCCGCCAGATTCAAGTCCAAATGCTTGTGAGCTTTGACCGGTACACACTTGTTATCAAGTACAAGTCATCATCTACGACCTTAAATTGATGACAGTATTCGATGGTATCATTGGCTGCTTATGATGAAACGGATAAGTGAAAAGGAGGATTTTGAGAACAAGAGCCGTTGAATCACAATTCAGGAGCAATACACAACCGAATATTTTTTGTCTTGAACGCTCAAAATACGGATGGATGACGGTGATTGAAATTGCAACCCCTCAAACGCCAAAAGAAAACTTTTAGGCTCTTCTTCATAAGTGGGCATTGATTTAATGAGCAATTGGTTTAGAAAACATTCCGCGGTAGTTCACTTGCAGGCAAACATGAATCATGGTTGATGATTATTTATTCCATTAAATTATCGGGTGTTGGGAGTTTGTTGTGGTTAGACTGAATTCATTTCAAATCTTCACCCTGCGGTATACTGCGACCATTAGCAAGTTTGTTTCACTGGACAAAGTGTGTTCTAGCCCTCGCGTTCTCTTGGTCCCAGGAGGTAAACGATTTCATCCATCTGTCTGTAACTCCATTTTATTCAATTGACTTGTCACATTCACCAAAGTCAATTGGTCTTATGGATGCCTTTGGATTCCCCGCTGTTCCCGACGTTATTCTTTCTGGTCATGCTGTTTTGGACTGCTACACCCGGAGGGCTACCCATAGATTCCAAAGTGAAGCAAATACCTTCATTAATCCCGACGCCACTGGTCCTTCGAACTTCACTTGGGGCTCTCTGACAAAACCGATTACAACCACCTGCTACCAGGTGGTAAATGACTCACACTACTGATTCGTCGAATTCAATCAGGAACAGCAGGACATTCCCTTTCTTGTGTCGCGTGGTATGTCTACAGGCTAACTAAACCAGCGTCATCAAAGTTTTACTCAGATATGCCTTTGTACGCATCGAGCAAGTCAAGATTTATCGCTTTAAAGTATAACTTACTGGATATTGTAATCGAGAGTGCTCGGTAACTCCAGGCACAAAACTGGTGTACCGAGTCCAAAAAATGATCACGTAATTACTGTAATTTATACGATTTGGTGCATAGCTTCCGTGAAACCCAAAGGAAACACGAGATCTGAGTTACTACCATTTCGCTGAGGCCTAGACAGTAGTAGTCGGGATGTTGAGATTGGGTTCAAACCCCGGAACGTCTAGTCAGTATTTGTTCGTACCCAAATCACTGAGCCATATCGAACTCAGCACCGCATCAGATGTTCGAAGAACGACACCAGCGGTGGTTTACGCGGATTTCTAGTATTTCTTATGCAGTACGAAGAAGACAATCAGAGACAGAAAAACGAGAGATTCAGTTGGTTTCCAGGTGAGTCTCTTGAAAAACCAATTAGTTTACACGCTAGTTTCGTGCAATTTGGTTTCAAGTAGAACATAAGGTTGACGCAAGCCCGGGAACTGTACCTTCCTGATGAGCCCCAAATAGGGCGAAACCGGTCGTGGGCTGTCGACGGATTTTCAGCAACCTTATGAGTAGTACATTACAAAGATAAGACAGGGTCCCATCTAGTCGTCTAGACGTATACTACGGCATTCTAATTTGTGGACAATTTCTGACCAAACTATTTTGTGGTCAGCCATGTGACAGAAATAATTTGGATTTCTTCGGCTGAAGTTTGTTCGATATTTCCTTCGCCCATTTTATACATCCCGGGACTGCTTGCTTTTTCAAGGTAGGAAGCGGAACCCACTTCATCCTTACGAATCAGAAAAAAAACAGACTGAGAACTTTTACTTTGGACAGCGGCAGTATAGTACTTATTAAATAAGAGGGCATGTGGAGATACAATAATTCTACTGAAAATCTTGGGTCTGTCAGCTTGCCAACGACGACCTTATTCACAGCGAGATTCAGAATGTTATCAACTCCTGGGGTATCGTTTGTATTGCTTCGTACCTCTATCTTAGGCCAACGTATTCTTTAAAATGTCTGCAGCTTGAAAACCATACACCATCCATCGGTTTTATGGGAATCACATTAATTATCGTACGCTTTGTTTTCCAAAAGTCCCGACACAACTTGGCTCCATAAACTGTGTAATTGGGAAAATGAATGGTCAGTGTTCCGAACTCAACATCTTTGAAGCTTCATTAATCTACCGCTTATTCAGTTAACAAACCTATCCCCCCAGTTCCCTAGGCCAAGAAACTATCTTTCGCGTGACTTCAACTCCATCGGGCTTTCGTTGGGCAATCTTAAGCACATGCGAGGCTGAAAACCCGGAGGAAAAGGGTTACGATATGATAGAGATCTGGTGAATCAAATGAACATTATACACATGTTTGATCGTGTTGTTCTGGACTTCGGAGGTAGAAAACAGTGGATAAATCCTGCGCAATGTTCGTTTGCACGGATTAACGAAGGTTCACATTTCGTGTCTGTCACAGCTGAGCTCAAAAAGGCGACATCCAAAAACATTCGTCCGAGTTTATGCATGTGTGCTTGTCCAACCTAATGGATAATGGGAGGCTGGGAAGTATGACTATGTTCTTTTCGGTCGACATTCGCTTCACTTTTGACGGGGGGAGGGCGAAGAGAGTTCCCACACAGCCGTCTTGGTCCTTGTTTGCTTTTGGCCTCAGACAGTTTCCATTAATACCATAAGGTGAGAATTGCGCAACCATTGAACAAACACACAAAACCACTGCTAGCAACGTAGCAAGAACGCGAGCGAGGTGTTTTACGTCGACCCACTGTCTCACCATGTTTTACGCACCGTGCACACGCGCCCAGTTCGCCTCGAGCAAAGGAAGTCATGACGTGAAAAAAAAGCAATAAGACGTCATGACCAAGGAAACTTTGGGTTTGGAACAAAGCTCAATCTAGTTGATCAAGCAACTCGCGTGTCCACCAATGAGAGATAAAAGACAGACTCATCTGCATGATTGATGATAGATACGTTCGGAAACGAACCACTCAGTAGCTGTTTGTGAGAAAAATTTCCTTACTAACTCCCGGTGCGTGTCACAGTTGACTTCCGAGGTGTTTCACCATACTCTTACTTACTTTGCATGAGCTCCGTATTCTCTGAGGGAGGTTTTAAAGTTCCGCGTAATTCAGTGCACCCAGCGATCAACTTCTGTTCTAATTTGTTCACGAGGACAGTGGATACTGAAGGAAAGCAACATTCCAAACAGCTAAGCTATGTACCGGATTTTAACGCCCTTGGGTTATCGTCAATTATTTTGCGCCCAAGCGAGTTCAATGAGAAATACACTCATTTGCAAATCAATTTGGTTCCCACGAGAGACTCAACTGAATCTCTCGTTTATGATATTCTACAACTGAATGTGCTACACACAGGCCGCCTCATGATTCAGTTGGAACGTTATTCGAGATAAGTATGTATATTTTCATGAAGAGTTTTCAGCAATCTTGTGAGTAGTTTCCTTCAAGTTCAATGAGGTTTTCACATCTCAGTCACTTAGGCAGGTCGGTGGCTTTTGTGAATTCGTTGTGTCTTACACCAGCTCAAAAAGACCATCGTTACCTATTTTAACGAGGACAGCACTCGCCAAAAAGTGGACTCAGATTCACAATGGTAACGGCAGTTTTCACGCTCACACCACCCGTGAAAGCAAGCAATGTAATTGCCCCCATTGACCGTCTCAACCTCCAGCTGTTACGTAATCCAGGTCACTTAGTTGTTGCACGACCTAGTCGGAACAAGCGATTAACATAGCAACCAAGCAAATTACACCGAAAAAGCAATTATTTGACAAGCAAACGGAAGTGAATGCGCTGCATTACGTAATCGGCCTCAGCAACCACAATTTAACGTCCACACTTTGTAGGCCTAACTTAAGTCAGGAGGCTAGTTCGGCTGAATCGTGAGAAGTCATCTGAAGCGGTTTTATTGTCACATCTCATCTAAAGGGTGCAGTGCGCCGTTCTAACGGAGTGAAACTACGGATTTTGTGAGTGAACCGTTTGAAATCAATCGATCAGCAGATCTAAATGACAAGGATTACCCCTATTCTTCATCAACCCTAATCGCAACGGCCTAGTGAGATAATTGTAGACTGACCCGCCCCTATGGCAAATTAACTGTTTATCTAACCCCACACTGGATTTATCACAGTCTATGGGGATATTAAGCTTACTTTTGAGCTACAGTGAAAACAACTAATTACATACCATCACGTTCTACGCGAACGCCTTCGTTCTCAAAATTGAATGTTTCTTTCGAGCCTTTGTTTTTACCGGGTGTTTATATCTACTTATGAATTTTACCATTTCAGAAGCGATGAATGCCCATCAGCTCCCAGGGCAGTCGAACGATATCATGGCAGAGGCCACACTTAGAATCATGTCCAATCCCACGGCAATCGATCACATCAACAAACTCGTGCAGCTCGGAAAACACTCAGATTCCATGAAAGGTAAGACGTCAAACAATAATTCGTAAGAAATGTGACTTAAGGCAGTGCATTTGAAAGAACCTAATTGGATTGTACAGGAACATCCTTGATATTGCGTAGATACGTTCCGGTTCTAGGGTTATTTGATTCCAAGTCTGAGTCTGATAACACGAGAGTTTCATTTCATAAGAAACCTAACAAATCTCACAAGACCAGCTCGGTGTATTATGGTTCGTGGCCGGTTCAGTAAACTTTCCTGTTTTAAAACAATTCTTTCGAAAACCATTGTGGCAATTCAAAACAGCGGCCGTTCTGTGGCTTTACTGCACTACACAAAAGAAGGATCCTTTCCTCCAGGATTAACAATGCCTTCTGCTTTTGAAGCCAAGACGGCCTTATCAAGGATCAAAACTCACGATCTGAAACACAAAGCAGCATAACTAGTTGTCTACTGTCGATGTAGCGATTATGACGGAACAACTCGTGCGTGTTTGGCAATGCGAGTAATAAGAAGCGCTGTCAAACAATGGGTTTCACCTCACTCACCGTGCAAGGTAGTAGAAACGAAGTAATTGGTGGCTGAATCAAAGTACACCTTATAATACATGGCGACAGAAACTGGTTGCAAGCTTTTTCCCAAGTCACCTACTTTGCGTAAGTAATCAGAAGCAAACAATTGTCAGAAATATTTCGAAGATTATTCTAGTTTTCGAGGAAACTGACTGGTTCCTATCAGGTTTCAGAGTAATGTTCACGTAGTGAAAGTGCAGGCGCAATCAGCAGTTTCTTAAACCGACGGTCTGATGAACTTGGTTTCCATTACTTATGTTGGCTGTTGAAACTCATGCAACATTACACGAAATTCACCAACTCAGAAATCTCTTTTGCTGCTGTAACTCGATTCACCTTTTTGTTCTTCTCGTTGAATCCAGACAGTGGAATTGGAACCACTTACCTCACCGCATCCTCCGGTTCGTCGTCCAACAACACCAGTCCAGAATCTGAAAAGGATGCCCTCGCTCAGGTAGGTGATATTTCTGCCATTGAAGCTGCAGTATTTCTTTATGTGAATAGGAGACATTACGCATCGAAGAACAGATATACACTGAAGTGGGTTTCACTTAGTCAAGGGGATTGGTAACACGCAATTTTCAGGTACTGAGAATGAACCACTTGTGCTATTCTGTATAGTTGTCTCTGGTCTACGTACTAGGATGTTCTGTTTTGTACCACACATCGCCAAGACCGAAAAGAGGGGGTGATTTGGACTCATTTTACATGAGCACAGCTCATGACCATCGGAAATCATTACTAATCACCAATCCTGGCGTTACATCATGTAATTTTTTAAACTGTATACATATATATTTTTTCATAAACCTATCTTCACAGAATGGAAAAAATGCCAAACATCTGAGCCTGTCAAAAGTCGATGCCACTTCAACTCCCGCAACGACGGTCAAGCGGAAGTCCAATAAGACGCTCAATAGATATGAGAACAATACTGAACACACACTCAATTCGTCTTTTATCGAAAGGAATCAGTTCACTTTCACTGATGTCGACCAGCTGGGTGCCACACCACTCGCTCCTCGGAAGCGTGGTGCCACTGACAACAACCACCAGGTGTTATCCCAAACAGACGTGGTCAGAAGGTTTCCATGTTTGAGCAAACCATTCTCCTCTCCTACCGGTCAAGCAACTGAGACCGGGCAGTCAGCAGGCAAACGTAGACAACGTCGAATGCATGCATGTGACCACTGTGAAAAGCAGTTCGACAGACCCTCTTTGCTCAAACGACACACTTTGACGCATACAGGTAAGTTTTTTGTAAGTTAACAAAACTCGAAGGTAGTTTTGCTTCTGTTCTGCATTCATTCTCTTTAGAAAAAGTGAGACCATACTTCGTTTTATATGTATAGATCTGTTTTCATAAAAAACACCACTCGATAAATCCAGACTAATAGGGATTTCCTACTGTAAGTGAAGCGAAACTATGCTGAAAGGCTGAGGTTCACTGTTGACTATCTCTGTTGGGTTTCGTAAGTGGTTATTCTCCGATCCGCGACTCCGTTTAAGAATTCGCCACACTTGATCACATGATATGAATTCCGTGGTTGGAGTAAAAGTGATACTCTACCTTATCTACTTGTGAGTTATCACATTTCTAATCAGTCACTCCTTAGCCGTTAAGTTCGGGCGGGGAGGGGGTGAACTTCAGTAGGCTCACAAATGTGAAACAGCAGTATAGTGCTTTTCGACTTGTCAGCATAAATTTCCTTCACTTGTGGCGCGAAAACTGGATTGCAAAATCTTTCCATATCAGCATAAACCCAGGTTAGGTTCGATATCAGATTAAGACATTTTGCACGCAACCGTTTCCTTACTTTCTAACTGACATGATCCGATATCTTTTTGTCCATAGTGTCCAGGCGACAACATGGCGAATCGTCAAAAGGCTGAAAACAATCTATTTCGTATTTAAACCATTTGGGTCACATACTCCATTTAATAGCTTTTGATCAATTGGGGTCAAAACAATGGCCAAGCAATGGACAAGAACAATGGTCTTGATTCTCACATCTAAGGGGAGGGATGAGAATGGGAGTTCCTTCATACAACTGGGTGAAATCATGGTTTATGACCCATTCCAGCTCACGATATTTCCTTCAATGTGCAGATTCTTTTGATATGTTAATACAGGAAGACTTTCTACTTCTATTTGATGAAACTAGAGGAGACATCAAAGGACAGTAGTCTGTCTGCAGTGCTGAACTGGGTGAGAAACTGCCATCGTGTCAGCTTCACTTTACTTGGCAGTATGCAAGGCACACTAAACTGACTTCTTCTTTCTAACACCGCACAATCTACAGGTGCGTCACCCCATTAAGTATCGCGAAAAAATCACTAATTGATATCAACGGATTTTTAAAACTTTTTTTTTTGACAGTAAATTTGTGGTATCTCAATCCGTTTGAATTTGTTTCCAAAGACATCAATTCTAACACCATGGGATCGTATCAGTCAAGAAGAAGTCTAACAATGTTTCTCTCCCCAACTACTGCCTTTTCAAATCGTACAACTGACTGAGCGTATGATAATAGCGGACTTCCACCACAAACTTACTTCAGAAAACAGCACAGTTAGCCATGAATAGTCACAAAATCATGGTTCAGGACGCTATGTGCTGTCTTTACTCTCATCTTCCCTTTATTAAGTATCCTGTCTCGGATATTCAATGTAGAGTTTTTCAGAGAAGTCAGCTAGCCATTCGAATTTGTTCATAATTTTCCTAACCAATCATCACCTTTCTGACAAGAGATAACGGACCATTCGTGTGGATTATTTGGCATGATCGATATCCCTGTTTTTGAAGGGAATTTTGTTAAACATTTCACCGACAACGTCATGGACAATAGACGAGTCGTCTCGAAGTGCAGCAAGCCGCATATCGGAAGTGCAAATGTGAATATTATCCGGAGGCATCAGTATTTGAGCGATCTAACTTTCAAAATAGCACAATTACAATAGCCTGCAGCATAAACATGAGAAATAACCCAAAGTTTTCTTCATCATTAGAGCCAACACAACTGACCGATGTTGAGAAATTGATACCGCTTAATAACAATTACCGATAGTTTGGTCTCACTCAGGGCGTAAAGGGGACACAGATATTCATCCTGTATCATATGTGACTGTGTGCTTTCAACATCCTTCGATATAGTTACTGAGGTAAATAAACCGCATAAAAAC